GTATGAGGGAGCCAGGGAGCAGGGAGGGAGGATGGAAAGAAAAAAAAAATAACCGCTCATATGGGCATAACTGACCTATAAGTAGGGGAGTGTGTTCAAATGCGAACACGCGGATAAAAGCCTGGCTGTTGCTGCTGCTGTATCTTATTTTAAAACAAGAAAGACTGGTTTGAAGAATTTTCGAACTTGTGTGTGTAGACTCCTGTGGACCTGGTCTTATCAAAGCAGTGATTCCCCAGCAAAGCTGTGGAAGGGCTTCTTTCCTGTTGCAGAGATTTTCGTGCTAGCCAGGATACTTTATTTCCCTCTAAAGCAGAATGGAGTGCTTGTAGGAGATTCAGTCACTCGAGGAAGTTGGGGGCTTGCCTCTTGGGAAGAGAAATGCAGGTATGAAAGCTTTCGGGTTTTGCACAGAGGAAATGGAAGGGATTCACGAAATGTGTTTCAAATTAAGACTAAACCAACACTGCCAACAGATGACTCTGAGTCTCCCTTTACTCCATCTGAAATTTTACTTTCCGCTTTAACTTCATGGTGGTGCTCCCCACGTCCCAGCCCCTGCGGCCCCCTTTCCGGCACCAGAGATGCTGAATCTTGCCTCTCGCTCCCACTCTGTCCTGGAATCTGGACTGCCTGTTCTTGGGTTCCTTTCCCTCTTCTGTTCTTGAACCTAGCTCATCTTGGAAGCCAAAAGCCTAAAGCCTACTTTCTTTACCTTCACTGAGGTTATTATTTCTCTGAACTGGACGTTAGATTGAATACAGATGACGTGAGTTCCTGATCATTCTGGGAGTGACCGAAACAAAACAGAGAAAGTCATTTATACATGACATCTTGTCATTAGTCTAAGAGGTAGCAGGGCAGTTTGCCAAGTGAAACCAAGTTTCTGGTATGTCAATGACTGAAACCTCCTTGAGCAGCGTCCATGCTTCTAGAGTGTACGGTGAGTTTCATCTCTGCCGTAAGTTACCATCTTGCCAGCAGTTTCATTTTTTATGTCCCATATCTCGGTGCCAGGTGCATGTGACACAGGAGATGAAAAATAAAGGAATAAATTGAGGGCAACCTCTATGTCAGCAGCAGAGTGCTTCTCAAACATGGTGACTTTCAGAATCACCTTGAGAGCTTATGAAGAACATGGAGTGAAATTCTCTGCTCTAATGCTAATCACAGGCTTCTGAAACATACTACCTTCCATGATCAGTTATCCACTGCATCCTGCTGGCTCTGGTGACTGCTTGGCTGATAGTGAGCAGAAGAGTTGGGTTGGTCTTCTCTTTATCCCAAAATACATTCGATGGTGGCATCTATACATGCAAGCACTGGAGAGAGAGCAGAAAACAAACTCAGAAGAGCTGGGTTTGAAAAGTGGGCAAAGGTAAAGTTTGAACAAGATGCCTGAGTACTGGCCATGACAGGTGGAAGATTTATCTAAAGTCTGATGAGAGACAATTGTATTTACTCAGAATCGTATGCACTTATAGTTTTTCTTACATTTGCAATGATTGAATACCTTTAAATGCCAGCCATCTTAAGCTATAGTAAAATCCCCATTGATGGGATTGTGATAGGATAATTGGCTCATTCCTGTTTCATTACCTGACAGCTCGAAATGGACACATGCAAAACATTTACAATATACCCATTCTACAGAAAACAAGACTTATGGTCAAAGAAGGTGAAAACAGTTGTCACATAACTTCCATGTGGCAAAGCTGAAGTCATGCTTGTCTGGCTGTTTGCGTACCCCCACCGGCATTTATTGCCTTGTTTTGTCTTTATACCTCCTCTGGTTGATGGATGATGTCATGCATTGACCAAAAAGGCTTCAGCTGGAAAAAGGCCCGTGAAATCCAGAGGGACCATCCAGTAGAGAGGCCAACAAAATAGCGTGTGGCAACCTTCCAAAATTCCACCCCAAAAATGGAGCGTTTTAATTTATACCACTTAAAGGTACTCTAAGAAGAACATTAACTCGGACCAATGCTGCCAGACAGCTCTATGCTTTATAATACTGTGAAGATTCTAGCAGTTCTTTTTAGAATTAGGTGCTAGAGTTGGAGGAAAAAAAAAAAAGCCTATCTCACTACATTTTTATTCAAATAATACATAGAAATTTTGAACAACTCTGAAATTTAGTGGCACGCAGTTATAAATCCAGTGAGCTAAACCATGCTGGTTTTCATTATACTTCCATTTAATTTTCTAATTAATCTCAGAAAACATTAATTAATTTTGTCTTTTCCACAGTTGGCCTGGCACCCTTGGGCCTGAAACACACAAATATTGCTGGCCTCGAGCAGTAGTAATCAAAATTTCTAATTTGTTTGAGCACGCCACTGTCTTTCCCCTTACTTCTTTCTCTGACGGGTACTTTAAGAATCCTTTAACCCCCTGGCTTTAGATTTTCTACGAATTCATGAATGAAAAAATCAGTAGATATCTCAGGCCAAAGAGATATGATAAGACAGAAATAAAGCAGGTCGAAGTTTTGATACGGAGACAAGAGTCGGACTCTGTGCTGGGGAATTACTTGTTTACGTTCCGGAGTCATCGTGATCTGGTGCCATTTTGAGTGTGGCATTACCCTGACATCTGCCCAGTGATCCCTCAGGATTGACTGCCTGACTCATCAGATAGTGTTTGCAATGTTAACTCACAATGAAGTACGTGTAGAACCACAGAAAAATGGACACCCCTAAATGCCAAAAACGTTAGAGCGGTTAGTTGCCTCTCACCTTTTTCCAGCAAAGGAATCTATCTCATAATTTCACTTTTTGCCAAAGCAACAACAAACAAACAAGCAAGCAAACAAACAAACAGGAGAGCACAGGCGATTGCCATGTGTCAGGGAGTCCAATTTTGGAAGCAAGAAGAGAAGAGTGTGTTACATAAATGCTAAAATGCAGTGGGAAGTGACTTTTGGGAAAGATATTTGAGCTGTAACGCCAAAACATCATTTAAAACGAGTAATTTGTCTCTGTTGACTACAAAGGGCATTTAGGCTTTCTATACTTTATAATGTATATGTTGAAGTAGTCATCAGGCCGTTCTACTGAAAATGCCTTCGAAATTTTATTGTGAAATATACCAATAAAATGTTTGTACTGTATACTTAAAAACAATAATAATAAAATTAATGCCCTTGGACCCACAACTGAGATTCGGAAACAAAACATTTTCTGTCCTTAGCAATTCCCTCTGTGCTGTCATCAAGAGTAGGTCCCTCTTTCTCAGAGAGATAATTATAATATTATCTTGAATTTGTGCCAATTCTTTGCTTTTTCATTCTGGTTGTATTCATATACCTGTATCCTCAAGCACTACTTTATTTACTTTCACCTGTTTTAGAGCTTTTTAATCAGTAACTGTGCCATACTAAATTCCCCTTTTTCAATATTATGCTTTTCAGATCCATTCATATTAATGGATGGACAGTAATTCACTGATTTTGACAGCTGCACTTCATTATGTGAATATAGTAACATTTAGTTGTCCATTGTCATTACTTAAGGTTATTGGTTGTTTCCAGGATTTATTATTATTATTATTATTATTATTATTATACATATTTTAAAATATTTTATTTTATTTTATTTTATTTTATTTTATTTTATTTTTAGAAAGAGAGAGCACACGAGCCAGTGGGAGGGGCAGAAGGAGAGAGAGAGTCTTAAGCAGACTCCATGCTCAGCATGGACCCCAACACAAGGCTCAATCCCATGACCTTGGGATCATGACCCAAGCCAGTAGACAAGAGCCAGATGCTCCACCGACTGAGCCACCCAGGTACCCTTCAAAGATTTATCATTATGAACAATGTTGCTATGGACATTTTCAAAAGCATCATTTGGTTCACTTGTGCAACCAGGTAGGATTGGACGTGGGGATTGAAAGTACGCTCATGTTCAGCTTTAAATGGTAATGACAAACATTTTGCCAAAAGGTGTATCAGTTTACCCTCTTACCAGTAGTGAAGTTTCTGATATTTCACACCCTACTCCATGTCGGATATAAACTGATTTAAAAATTTTTTTTTAAATGTTTATGTATTTTTGAGAGAGAGAGAGACAGAGTGTGAGCTGGGGACGAGCAGAGAGAGGGAGACACAGAATCCAAAGCAGGCTCCAGGCTCTGAGCTGTCAGCACAGAGCCTGCTGACACAAGGCTTGAACTCACGAACCACAAGATCATGACCTGAGCCGAAGTTGGATGCTTAACTGACTGAGCCACCCAGGCGCCCTGGATATAAACTGATTTTTTAAGAAAATATTTGACAATTCAGTGGGTGGGAAAATGTATCTTATTGTAGTTAAAATTTGTATTTCCATGGTTCCAAATAAGATTGAGCCTCTTTCCATGTATTTAAGAGCCTTTTTATATATCTTCAGTGAAATGTCCTTCCACGGCATTTGTCTTAATTTAAAAAATCGATTTGTTTTTCTCTTTTTGATAACATTAGGAGTTCTTTACTTTTTCTGAATACTACTCCCTTGTCAGTTATATGGATTAGCAATATCTTCTCCCATTTAATGGCTTATCTTTTCACCACGATCATGGCCTTTTTTATAAATAGAAATTAGCAGTATTAAAAGATTTAAATTTATCAATTTTTATTACAATTCCCACTTCTTATGGCATGAATTCTTCTTTGTATTGAGGTCATAAAGATGCTCCTAAAATGTCATCTTAAAGTTTTAATTATTTGGCGTTTGCTTCTAAGCCTTTAATCAACCTGAAATCGATTTTGATGTGTGGTTTCAGGTGGGAATCCAATTTCACTTTCTCCCATATGGGTAACCGACTTGCAAGTTAACAAGTTAGTTTCCGTTCTACTGACAGAGAACGTGAAACTCCAAGACAGAAACAGAGGAGATCTCGTTTGTTATAGCTGATAGAAGTAGCCAGACTGTCGTCATTTCCGTGTAGGCTCTCCAAGCCCCATTCCCACAGGGCAGGGGAATGCCCGAACACGAATTGTGTAATAGGAGAGGAAACCCGCGCTCGCTTTGGCAGCGCATATACTAAAATTGGACCCATACAGAGAAGATTAGCGTAGCCCCTACAAAAGGATGACGCACAAATTCGTGAAGCGTTCCATATTTAAAAAAAAACAAAACAAAACAAAGAGAGAGAGAGAGAGAGGAAACCCAAGTTTAAGGCACTCAAATCTTTTTTTTTTTTTTTAAGTTTATTTATTTATTTTGAGAGAAAGAGAGAGTGAGTATGTGTGAGCAGGGGAGGAGCAGAGAGAGAGACAGATAGACAAAGAAACAGAGAGAGAATCCCAAGCAGGCTCTGTGCTGTCAGTGTGGAGCCCAGCACGGGGCTTGAACTTACAAACCATGAGATAGATCATGACCTGAGTGAAGCCGGGAGTCAGATGCTCCACTGACTGAGCCGCCTAGGCGCCCCTCAAATCGTTCGTGATGGGCAATGAGCCTATCTGAAGTTTGCCCCAAAAGGAAATATTGTCTTTTTCGCATTAAATTCATTGACTTTTTGGGTTACAATGGATATCTTTAAATATTCAATCCTGTACATAAGATGCATCTCAGTTTATTCCAATCTTTCTTTTTCTCTTAATAAAGTTTTCAAATTTTATTTATAAAGACCATGGCTGTTTTTGTTCAGTTAGTGCCTGGACAATGTACATATTACTCATTTGTTCTTATACATCAGATATTCGTTTCTGTAATATTTTGTCTTTGGTACTTCTGTCATAAAGGAACACTATTGGTTTCATTGCTGACTTCAAATCCAACAACCATGCCCATCTCTGATTTTTCCAACAAGCTTTCTGTTGACTTTGTTAGGTTTTCTATGGTAATTATACCATCTGCCGTTAGGGCAGTTTTATTTATTTTTTTCAACAGAAGGGCGGTTTTATTTCATTCTTTCTTGGTTTTTATTCCTCTTTTCTTTTTTAACCTGTATTACAGCACTCCTCAGCTTCAAACCTTACAATAGCTCATTTTACTCAGATCAAAGCCAATCTCCCTACAATGCCTGGGAGGCCTAAGGTGGCCTCCTTACGCCTCTGAACTCGCCAGCTGCTCTCCATACTGGTTCCTTTGCTCCAGGCTGACTCAACACCTTACTATTCCAGAAACTTGCCAGATACAGCTTGCCTCCAGGGCCTCTCCAGGATCCAGTGTTATTTGCAGGAGCTGGAAGTCAGTGGCTCCCTCCCACTTTACAACCTAAGCATCGCACTTGCCTTCTCTTGTCCAGATTTTGCTTTACACTTAATTTTATGTCTGCCTGGAAACTTCTTGCCTCAAATATCTGCATGGCTTAATCCCTCACTCCTTGCAGGTCTTTGCTTAGATATTTCTTTGTCAGAACATTTAAAATGAACACTACTTGCCTACACAAGCACTTTCTAGCCATCTTTCTCCACCCCCAGGTCTATTGAAAAATAATTGACATAAAACATTACGTAAGTTTAAGGTGCACCATGTGATGACTTGATATGAGTATATTATGACACGCTATTATAATTAGGTCTCTTAGCACATCCTTCACCCCATCTAATTACAAACTTTTTGTTGTAATGGGAGAACATGAGAGCTCTATTCTCATAGCAACCTTTAAGCATACGGTACAGTATGGTTAATTATAGTCACCACCTTGTACATTAGGTCCCTAGAACGTATCTTCTACCTGGATGTTTGTACCTTTTGACCAATATCTGCCTATTTTCACCACCCCTCTGCCCCTGGCAACCACCATTCTGCTCTCTGCTTCTATGAGTTTGATGTTTTTATATTCTGTACGTAAGTGAAATCATACAGTATTTGTCTTTCTCTGTCTGACTTATTTCACTTAGCATAATGTCCTCAGGGTCCATCCATGCTGTCACAAATGACAGCATTTTCTTCTTTTTTATGGCCGAATATTACTCCATTATGTATACATATCATTGTGTGTACACACACACACACACACACACACAACATCTGCTTTATATATTCATCCATTGATGGATAGTTAGTTTTTTTCCATGTCTTGGCCATTGTAAATAACGCCACAATGAACATGAGAGTATAGACATTTCTTTGATATGGCGATTTCATTTTTCTCTGTGCATACTTAGAAGTGAGATTGCTGAATCATACAGTAGTTCTGTTTTGAATTTTTAAAGAAATCCTTACACTATTTTCCATAGTGGCTGCATGAATTTACATTCCCACCAATGGTACACAACGGTTCACGTTTCTCCACATACTCTCCAATATTTGTTATTTCTTGTCTTTTCGATAATAGCCATTCTAACAGATATGAAGTAATACCTTGTTTTGATTTGCTTTTTCCTCATGATTTAGTGATGTTAAGTACCTTTTCATATACTTATCAGGCATTAGTATGTCTTTGGAAAAATGTGTATTTAACTTCTCTTCCCAGTTTTTAACTGGGCTTTCTGGTTTTGCCATTGAACTATATGAGTTCCTTACATATTTTGGGTATTAATCCTTTATCAGATATATGGTTTGCAAATATCTTTTGCTGTTTCATACGCTTTTCAATTTGTTCATTATTTATGTGGCTGTGTAGTGGCTTTTTATTTTGATATAGGTCCACTTTTAGATTTTTGCTTTTGTTGCTTGTGCTTTTGGTGTCATTTCCAAAAACCCGTGGACATGACTGACATCAAGGAGTGTGTTTCCTGTGTTTTCTTCTAGGAATTTTACAATTTTGTGCCTGTGCTTAAGTCCTTAATGCATTTCCAGTTAATTTTTGCTAGCGGTGTAAGGCAGCAAATACCATTCTTTTGCACGTGGATATCCAGTTTTCCCAGCACCATTTATTGAATAGACAATCCTTACACAATAGTGTATCAACATACTATTGAGTATTCTTGGTTCTTTTTTTTTTTTTTTTAATTTTTTTTTCAACGTTTATTTATTTTTGGGACAGAGCGAGACAGAGCATGAACGGGGGAGGGGCAGAGAGAGAGGGAGACACAGAATCAGAAACAGGCTCCAGGCTCCGAGCCATCAGCCCAGAGCCCCACGCGGGGCTCGAACTCACGGACCGCGAGATCGCGACCTGGCTGAAGTCGGACGCTTAACCGACTGCGCCACCCAGGCGCCCCGAGTATTCTTGGTTCTGTTCTCAAATATTAGTTGACTATATATACTAGAATTTATTTCTGGGTTCTTGATTCTGTTTCCTTGATCTGTGTCTCCAACTTTGTTCTTCCTCAAGATTGCTTTGGATATTTGGGGTCTCTTGTGATTCCGTGTGAATTTTAGGATTTTTTTTTCTCTTTCTATGAAAAATGCCATTGAAATTTTGATGGGGGTTGCATTGACTCTGTAAGTGGTGTTGGGTAGTATGGACATTTTAACAATATTAACGCTCATAATCAATAAATACAAATTATCTTCCATTTATTTGTGTCTAGTCTTTTTCATCAGTATCTTATAGTCTTCTGTATATAGATCTTTCATGCCCTTGGTTAAATTTATTCCTGTAATTTATTATTTTGGCGGCTATTATAAATAAGATTAGTTTATTTCTTTCTTTTTCAGATAGCTCGCTGTTGGCATGTAGAAATGCAACTAGTATTGTATGTTGGTTTTGTATTGTGAAACTATTGAATTCGTTGATTAGTTCCAACAGTTTTTTGGTTGAGTATTTAGGATTTTCTATATGCAAGATTAAATTATCAGCAAACAGAAATTATTTTACTTCTTCCTTTCTGATTTGAATACCTTTTATTTCTTTTTCTTACCTTATTGCCTGGCTAGGACTTCCAATACTATGTTGAAAAGGAGTGGTGACAATGGACACCCTTCAGGTGCCTGGGTGGCTCAGTTGGTTAAACATCCAACTCTTGATTTGGGCTCAGGTCAAATCATCTCCATAATCTCATGGATTGTGAGTTCAAGCCCCATGTTGGGCTTGCTCTGACAGCATGGAGCCTGCTTGGGGCTCTCTCTTTCTCTCTCTCTCCTTCTGTCCCCACTTCCAAATAAATAAACTTAAAAAAAAAAAAAAAAGAATGGGCACCCTTATCTTGTCTCCAATCTTAGAGGAAAAGATTTCAACCCTTCACCATTGAGTATGTGGTTAACTATGGGTTTGCCATACAAGGCTTTTGTTATGCTGCTTCTAAACCCAATTTGTTGACAGTTTTCAACATGTGAAGGGTGTTGAATTTTGTCAGATGCTTTTTCTGCATCTCCTGATGGTCTTGTGATTTTTGTCTTGAAAGACAAACTGTACTATTAATGTAGTCTATCACACTTATTTGCATATTTTTAACCATTTTTGCTTCCCAGTGAGACTTGATAATGGTGTATGATTCTTTTAATTTGTTGTTAAATTTGCTTTGCTTTATTTTGTTTAGATTTTTTGCATCTATATTCATCAAGTCTAATGGTTTATAGTTTGTGTTGTTGTTCGCTTGTTTTGTATTATCCTTACCTGGCTTTGGTACAAGGATAATGTTGGCCTCATAAAATAAATTTGGGTGTACTCCCTCTTCTTCAAATTTCAGAAGAGTTTGTGAAGGCTTGCCATTAATTCTTCTTTAAATGTTTGGGAGAGTTCACCTGTGAAGCTTCTGGTTTGGGGAGGGTTATTTTGGGAGGTTTGGATTACTGATTCAATCTCTTGTTATCGACCTGCTCAAATTTTCTATTTCTTCATGATTCAGACATGGCAGGTCATATAATTTCTGGGAGGTTTTCATTTCTTTTAGGTTGTCCAATTTGATGGCATATTAATCCTTTTGGGAGTCTTATGATTCTTTGCTTTTCAGTGGTATCAGTTGTAATGAATCCTCTTTCATTTATAATTGTATTTATTTTAAGTTTCTCTTTTCTTTTGGTAAATTTAGCTAGTTTCTCCATTTTGTTTTTGCTTTAGAAAACCCAACTTTAGCTTTTTGATATTTTCTATTTTTTTATTCTAAATTTCATTTATTTTTTGTCTCACATTTGTTACTTCCTTCCTTCTGTGAACTTTGGGCTTCATTTCTTCTTCTTCTATTGAACTATAAAGTTATGTGAGTTTCTTTTTTTTTTAACATAGGCGTGTAACCTATAAATTTCTCTCTTAGCACTGCTTTAGCTGCGTCCCATAATTTAGTTACGG